CGCACGGTGGGCGTGGCGTCGTGGTTGGACTGGGCGAGAGCGGCCAGCAGCTGCCGCACCACGTTGTCGTACATAAGGTCGCTCTCGTTGGTGATGAAGTCCAGCCGGTTGAGCGACTTGATGTGGTCGCGGTTCTCGTCGCAGAACATGGCCAGGATGTTGATGTCGCAGAACTGCGAGCGGCGCCACTGCCGGCGCGTCTTGATGCCCACCTTGTGCAGCTTGTCGAAGATGAAGTTGCTCTTGCGGAAGATGAAGAGGTGGATGAGGTTGACGAGGATGATGAGGTTCATGGAGCAGAGCAGCACGATGTCCACGCCCGCCACGATGCGCTGCAGCTGCACGGACGGCAGCTTGCAGCTGACGCGCACCGCCGGGCCCCCGCCTCCCGGGGCTGCGCCCAGCGCGCAGGTGAACTCGTTCTGCTTCTGGGTGGCGTAGTAGGTGCACAGGTAAGAGATGGGCGCCACGCTGAGCAGCAGGATGAGCAGGTGCCGCGCTAGGTAGAGCTTGGCTAGAAAGTTGCTGCGGCCGCGGCGCTCCAGGTACTTCTCGAACAGGTTCTGCTCAGGGCTCTTCTCCTTCTCTGCGTTCTCGATGATCTCGCGCCGCTCGCGCTCCGTGATGCCGGGCCCCTTGGACTGGATCTGCTTCTCGATCTTGGGCGCGCGGCCCTCGGCCGCCCGATGGTAGCAGTTGTCGATCTCCTGAAGCAGGAAGTTGAGCTCTGAGGTGAGGCGCGTGGATGCCAGGAACTCCCAGCCCAGCGCGGGCACGTACATGATGGCCGCGAAGGCCAGCAGCGAGTAGGGCAGCAGCTTGTGCTCAAACAGCGACGGCCACAGGCTGGCGTCCACACCCGGCAGCGCGTCCCGCAGCTCCGTCCAGCAGTAGCCGCGGGCGTACAGCGCCTGGTCCCGGGTGAAGTTGTGCGGTGTGTAGCAGTAAATGGGCTCCTCTAGGGGCAGAGAGGAGAGGGGGCTGGGGCTGGGGCATCAGGCCCCTCCCTTCTGCCCCGCCCTGAGCCCCCTCCAGCACAGCAGCCTGCACAGGGTCTGCTGTCCGGGTAACAAACCCTCCAGCTCCAGGTGGCTTTCCTTCACTGTCTCAGCCAAGGAGACATGAGAGATCTCACCCTGGCTCCCCTCTCGCCCTGTACATGCCGTTATCAGCTATGGCACAGGCAGAGGTGGGTTGAGGGTGGAGGGTGCAGTCATGCCTACCCCAGCCCTGGGGACCAACCTGCCCTTGGAACCTCAGGCCCCTCTCCAAATGCCGTAAAGTCTCCGGGTACACACCGCGAAACTGAGTCCCAAAGCGGACAGGACAAGCCACACCACTCATCCAGGGTCCCTCCTCCATCAACACAGCTGGACTAGCCCCTGGCCTGGCACTGCCCCGGGCTCCATCCTTAGGAGTGCAGGTGTCCTAGACAGGTCCTACCTGGCCAGAGACAGTTCTGGTGAAAATAACCAAAGGAAAACAAACGTGGCTCTGGCAGACCTTGAGAGGGGAGGCGAGTCTCCCCAGGACCCGCACTGTCCTAGGAAGGGCAGGCCTGGGGGCCCTGGGCTCCAACAGGAAGCCTTTACCGGTGGGACTGCAGTGTCTGCCACTGAGACAGTGCCGGGGGCATGCTCTCTCCAACTGCAGGAAAGACGGTCATCACGGAACTGCTTTCCCTCCCAGATGAGGACATGTGAGGCACCGGGCCCCACGATGGGTCTCATGTTTGAACACTTCCGGGGGGGAGAGCTTCACAGGCTCCAGCCATCCTTAGTGCAGGATGTTCACGGCCCCTCAAGGCTGGGCCACGCCGCTGTCTGGCCAGACTCCAGCCCCTCTCACTATGGACAGGGGGCACGTGACCTCCTGGCAGCCAAGAGCCCTGGGCCCCCAGCCCAACGACACCGTCCCACTGACAAGAGGTCATCCCCCCCCGCCCCACCCACATGCTGTGGCCCTAGCCTGGACTCTGTCTCATCCCAAAGAAGGCCCCCAGGTCTGCTCAGTCTCCCTCGGCCCCAGCTTAAGCCTCTCACATCCAAGACTTGACACGAGGAAGCAGCAGGGACTCCCATGCCTGTCTGTGCAGGCCCCACCCCTACCACAAGGCCTGCTCCACTCTGAGCCTGGCCTTTGAGGCTGGGAGAGGCAGACGGTCACTGCTGTACCTCGCAGGGGCCGAGGGGGCTAGGGACGGCGGCTGGCTACATATCTGGCCAGAGACCTCACAAGTGCCTGCGGCCCTGGCATTGGGAGGTCGCCTGGCCTCTTACCCGTGCAGACCCCACAGCACTGCCACCAGCACAACAGCCCCACACCTGGGCGTTCCAGGTGGCATGGTCCCACAGCTATGGCAGCTGGCCCTCGGACTCCACCTAGAGGGCACTGGGGAGTCCCGGAGGGCTTAGGGGCAGAAGTGGGTGGGCAGGGTAGCTTGGTTCAGACACAGTTGGAGGTGGTCAAGGGGATCTATGAGGAAGCTGCTGCCATGGGCACAGAGATGGGGGCTTGGCCACGGATGGGCAGGTCACGAAGAGCCGGTACCCACAGCTCAAGGTCCCTGACGAGGACACAGACTTGGGACCGAGTGGTGAGCTGGGCTCAGAGAAACATGGAAGAGGGACATGACTGAACCCTTGTGGTTGAGAAGATGGCATTTTATTCACTTACTTTTGTCCCCACAGCCGACCCCAGGGCAGACGCTCTCCACTAGGGGAAAAGGACAGGGCGGTGGGATGCCCGCCCTGGAGGACCACTGGACCACGAGCGCAGGCCCCAGCTCTGGGGCGTGGGGGGCCTGTACCCCATGCTGCAGGCACAGAGGAGCAGGGCCCCCACGGGCTCCCCGTATCCTCTCACGTCTGCCGCCTCTGTGTCTGCTGGCAGGGGAGGAGGGACGAGCCCTGGCTCAGGAGAGGCCCAGCCCTGGGACCCCGTGGGCACATCTCTGGGGGCTCTGTCCTTCCTCCATCTGCCTACGCCTGCAAAGCAGACGGCACCCCGACAGCCCGGCAGAGCCGGCACCCGTCCTGCCTGCAGGCGCTCAGGGTGCACACGGCAGGAGAAGCTGTGGCTGCGTGTCCTGGCTCACGCTTCAGGGGCCTGCGCGCTGGGCCTGGCTCTGGGTGGGGCCAACCGCTGAGCCAAGGGGACCCCAGTGCAGGGTGCTCCAACACAGTGGTGACAGCACAGATGTCTGATGGGGACATGCAGACCTGGCCAACTTGCCGAGGGCACCTCTCCTGAGAGGCTGGCACTGTGGGGCTCCAGACCTGGGGCCCCTGGAAACCCCACCACTGAGTGCACAGGGCCAACGACGGCATCGCGGGGAAAGCGGGAAGAGCCGGGCCAGGGCAGCCTCAGGAAGGACCAGTCTGCGCTACTCCCATCAGGCCTGGCCCGGCCCTCCACAGCAGCGGCCCCACCCCCTCTGAGTTGGCTCCCCGACCCGCACATCCCGAGGACCCTTCCAGACGTGGAGCTGCCTGCGCCATCCTGCCCACACCAGCCCCTGTTCCACGTGGTGGGGGCAGCCGCCTCTTAGGCCCCCTGCTCAGCCGAGGCTGCTCCTCGGGCTGGCAGAACCCTGCCTCAGGCACCCCTAGAGTTGGCTCCTGCCCCCCTCTTCTCCTCCCAGCCCCCCGCCCCGGGCGAGGTCCAGACCCTTCCCAGACGCCACAAGGCTGCTTTGGCCAGCTTCCCAACCCTGCAACTAGGTAGCTCTCCACAGAGACTGGGGTTAGCTTAGGGTTCTTGCTGGTAGATGATGGTTCTAGATTATCTGGGTGGGCCTGATGTGAGCACAGGGGTTCTTCTAAGAGGGAGGCAGGAAGGTGAGAATGAGAGTGAGCGTGAGGATGGAACAGGGGACAGAGAGAAGAGAAGATGTGTTCAGTGGCCCTGGAGGTGGAGGAGGGGCTGGGGAAGGGGCAGCTCTCAAAGCTGGGACAGGCAAGGAGCTGGCTTCTCACTGGAGCCTCCACAGCCAGCTACACCCACACCTTGACTCGCTTCAGACTTCTGAGCTGCTTAGCCGTAAATGATAAATTCCTGCTACTTTGAGCCACTAAGTTTGTGGTCATTTGTTAGAGCGAGTTAGAAGTTAGAGTTAGAAGGGAGAGGAGACCCTCAGAGGCCACCAAAGGGGGGGGGTCCTGGGCTGCCCCAAGGTCGGGGGGCCGTCTCAGCTCTTCCTGAGCTGGCTAGGTGGGGAGGGGGCTCACTTCTCAAAGACCCACCCTGGAGACTGGGTCCCCAGGAACCCACTGGCACAGGGACCCGCAGCTCACCAGTCCTCAGCGGGCAAAGTGCTCGCTGCCTCTCCCGAGCTGGGGTGAGCACACCTCGGGGACCCTTCATGACCGTAGGGCACCCACTGCAGGCAGGCCTCCGAGACACTGCAGGGCCGGTCCAGACCGCCACAAAGAAGCAAGTAGCACAATAAAGCGAGTCACACAAACTCGGTTTCCCAGTGCAAACAGAAATTACTCTTACACTAGACCACGTCTACATACTGTGTGCAAGCCTTAAAAACCAATGCATAATTTGATTAAAAGATATTTTATTGCTAAAAGATACCAACCATTCTCTGAGCCTTCAGCAAGTAGTAATCTTTTTGCAATAGTCAGGTCAGAGATCACTGATCACAGCTCACTGTAACAAGTGCAGTAATAATGAAAAAGTTTGAAATATTGTGAGAATATTGTGAGAACTGAGCAAACGCTGTTGGAAAGATGGCACCAGTAGACTAGTTCAATGCCGGGCGGTCACAGACCTCCCATTTGTGAGAAACGCAGGGCCTGAAGCGCGGTAAAACGAGGTCTGCCTGTACTCGGCCATCTTAGGAAAAAGCAACTGTTGGTCCTCTCGGCCCAGGGCCCACACACTGTCCACAGAACCCGGTCATCCTTCAGCTCTCCTCTGTCCCCTGTTACTGGCCAGGAGCCACCAGGGTCTTCCCGCCATTGGCCACCATCCAGCCTGGGGCCATGCCCAGGCCCTGGTGTTCAGGGAGGACCCAGGCTAGAACGCCAGTGCCACCTGGCTGGCCCCTCACCACAACCTGGCCGGCCAGCTGCTGCGAGCCCAGGTCTCCAACGGGCAGAAGGGGTGGACCTTGTCCTGCGCACTGGGGGTGAGTGCTGGGACCCCTCCATCCAAGCTGGGCTCCCAGGGGATGGGCATGGACCCTTCCGGCAGGGGCAGAACACACGCGGGACCCCATTCTTGGGCTCTGACCCTCGAAGGCAGCTGCTGACACCGGGCCTAGGGGCCAGGGCCGGTGTGCCCCTGTTGGAGGGGAGGCAGGTTGAGGCCCTCCCGTGCCCCTTGAGGGGCAGAGCTTCTGACCTTGCTGCCCCCTTGCAGCTCTGCCACCTCTTAGGGATCCCCACCTGTAGGCTGGGCCACCCCGGAAGTCCACCCTGTGGACATGTGGCTCCCATCTGCAAGTCCCCCACTGCCCTCGTGTCTGGAGAGGAGACCCTGGGACTTCCGAGTTCTGTGAGAGGCATTTGAGGCTAAGGAGCGCCAGGTAGAGGGACTCGGCTTCAGGAGAGCAAGAGGCACTCCCACAAACTGCGGGAATCAGGAGTGAGTGCAGTTGCAGGACATCAGCAAGTTAAGGACTCGTGAAGCTGCTGCTCCCCCTCTTTGCTCTGTGACCTGGAACAAGATTTCCTCGCCCCAGGAAACGGCGACATCTGTGCACACCTGGACTTACACCCGGGCCCCCGTGGAGTGTGCTACCCGGCGTGTCCTGGCCCCAGCAAAGGGACAAGGAGCCTGTCCACCCCAGGTCTGGCACCCCCAGGTCATAGGGACCCTAAAATGTGAGTCCTTTGTGAAAGACTCAGTGCAGGATGCGAGAACGTCTGCTCGATTGTCCATCTGTCCGCACCTCTCCCTCCTTGAGGGGCTCTCTCTGCCCCTGGCTGGCGCCCCTGGCCTCAAGCACGGCTGTGGAGGGACCTCCCTAGACACCTGGGCTCTGAGACCCCTTGGGTGGGGGGGTTTCCTGTCCCCACGCCCCGACCCGTGGGGAGTGCGGTGGCACCCGGGAGTGCCCTCCCTTTCCTCCATGTCCCCAGGAATCACTGGCTGGC